GGGAACACCGAGTGGCCACAAGGGGGGAGGGGGTGATGGGCGGAAGGAAGCAGAACCCGTGCTGCTGATTTTACTGCGGGTGCGCGGGGGTATGAGAAGAGCTTGGGAGCTGAGTACACTGCAGAGGGCACGGGAAGGGGGAGGGAGGGTTGGCAATGCATGAGCATATTTTCTGGGTGTGGATTCGAGATACGGCGAAGGGGTTGGGGTGGATATGAGAGGGAGTGGTGCGTGCGGGTTTCGCGTGCAGAAAGGCGAGGCAGGGATAGCGGGATGGGTGGGTATATTGAATGACTACGTGAAGTAGGTCCTTTGGCTGCTGCCTAGGCCACGTAAGATGGGGGAAGGTGTGTTGGCTGGAAGGGAGGAAAGCAAGAAAAAAGCACAAGCAAGAAAAAAAGTAAAAGTAAAAAAAGCTTCGCCATCGATAGGGGGCATCCCCATTTGTAAAGCTGATGCTTAGGTAAAGCTCAGAGCTCTCAGCTTTACCTAAGCATCAACTTCATAAACACGGAAGATTTTCCTAAGCATCAGTTTCATAGGCACAGACGCTTTAAGCAAGCAAAGAACCCATTATCAGCAAAGGACCTTCCCATTTATAAGGCTGATGCTTAGGTAAAGCTTCCGTAAAGCTGATGCTTAGGTAAAGCTGAGAGCTGTCAGCTTTATCTAAGCATCAGCTTCATTTTATTTGCTTTCTGCTTTCTTCACCTAAACATCACCTTCACTGCGCAGTACAGTGGTTAAGTGAAACAAATCTGCACCTTCACAGTTCATCAGTCCTCCTTCGATTCATTTTTCTACAGCCTTCACCAACAAGTGCCATCGGCTTTTTTTACACGCAGCTGCTTTTCTTGCAAACTGTTTAGTCTTTTATTCTGCTTTTTTTCCGCAGGTTCTCCTTTTAAAAACTGTTCTAATCTACTTTTCTTCTTGCCTTTTTGCATAAAAGTTTGCACTTCAAGCCAGTTATATTTGTTGAGTTTCTGACAAAGAGACTATTAACCCCAATGTATTTCCCAGCTTTCCCCCAATTTTTGATTCAGCAGAGCAAAAACTAGAGGATTTTTTTGTAAGCCAGTATTAAGGAAACCTATTCTGATTCTAACTTGCACGAACAAAAGTCTGTAATTTGACCTAGGAAATTTGAAGCAAATGCGGGAACAAAGAGCTGATATGTTGGGTAAGAGAACTGATTTTGGAAATCAAAAAAAATTTTAGCAAAAGCTGCGAATAACAAACGAGGAATCAAATCTTTCCATTTCACCATTTCAAATCATTCGTGGTTTCGCTGTAATGCATTTGTTAGCTGAAGGAAAGTGCAAAAAAATGTTGGAAAAATTAATTGCCAGAGGTATATTATTTTACTGATTCTAACAAATACACATATGCGCGGTAACATCTTCACATTTTTTCTACCCAAACATGGGTCTGCAACAACAGTAGCTGAAAAATATGATTTGTTTTTTCAAGAATAAATTTAGAGTCAAAATATCCCAATCGAATTAAATAAGTATTAGGGAAAGGAGGGGAACGGAGGGGGGGAGGGGGGGAGGGGGGGTGGAGGAAAAAGGTAAAGACGCATTCTTTTTTCTGTATCTGGGGCAGATCTGCAAATAAAATTCCCACAGTGATGGTACTTAAATCGTTGTTACTCTCCATGAATAACGTACATGAGATTGCCGACTTAAAAAAGTTAAAATTGATTTAAGCCAAATAATACTTGCGTTTGAATCATTGGCGACGCGTACTGGGGAGGCCCGTGCGATCATGCGTTTTTGCAGTGTTTCGTCCTGTAATAAGATTATTCGAAATTCTGCTAGCTAGAAACCTCTTATACATACTGGTCCTCGAATTTCGGAAACTTAATTATCCTCGCTATAGTTGGGCAGGGAACATTCCCTTGAAATCCCAGCTTTCCAGCTTTCTCAGTTCTCGAGTTACCAAAGTTGCAGCTATAAAATTTCACGGGGCCGTGCGTAGCCACCACGTATGGCGGGGGGCTGAATTTGATAAATTGAAGTTGATGATTTGGGAACATTCCCTAAAAATTTCAGCCTCCCGGCTTTCTTGGTTCCCGAGCTAGCGATTTTCGTGCCAGGAACCCTCAGGGGGCCGTACGCGAGAACCACGAACCCCCGGAGGCTGAATTTGAAATCTTTGAGTCTTATTTGGAATGGCAACATAGTCCCAAAATTTCAGCTTTCTAGCTTTTCTGGTTCTCGGGTTAGCGATTTTCCCGCCAAAACTTTGGAGCGCTCGTACGTGGGGTCTAGACGTGCTTGAGGGTTGGTACAGCGGTCCTGGGGTGGCACTTGGACGGGAGACCCACTCGCAAAATTTTAGCGCCGGAGCTTGCTTGGGTGCCGCTTTGAAATACCCGGACAGACGCACACACACACACACACACATACATACACACGTACACACACACACACACACTGGGGTCGTCGCAAGATGCGTTTTCTCATTTGTATATTATGCAAAAACGCATAATAAAAAGTCATCAGTGTTCATATTAGCAACGGCCTCACTGAAACATCCGCACTGAAGATGCGCCCCGACAGAAACTTAGTCATTGTTCAGATTCACTTCACAGTTCCGGCTGTCTCAGACAATTATTAGTTGTATGACAGATGTATATTCATCGCATGCTGTTCAACAAAAAGCGAATCAGAGACCATGTTACAAATTAATTGTAATAGTATCCACGGGCAACAGCACGAAAGTAGTCTCGCATAACAAATTGACCAAATCAGACTACTTGACACAATCAGCTGGCAAACATATGCCAATAGTAAGCTATCACATGCAAACAACGAAAGCTATTCAAACATAACCCAGACATTTTACAGCTTTCCATGGGTGTTATATGCGGAAATGGATGGATATGCACGATGAAGTGCGTCGCCTTTATTCTACTTTCCTGGAACCACTAGCAGCTGCGCCAGTTCGTGTATATTTTGAAAAAAGTCCACTCCTATCATTTGATAATGGTTTGGCTGGACTTGTTGAAGAATTTTATGGTGATAGTAAGGTTAATGCCAAAATTTATGAAGCATTAATTACCACAATACCAAGACAGCCTGGAAGGTAAATGTTAAGAGATCCGATGCACTAATGCCCTGAAATGTGATAGCTCCTCCACACTTTCATTTAATATATAGTTGCTCTACCACTTACGCGTGAAATCTCTTCGGAGACTGTTCGAGTGGTTGTTATGCACCACATACTGATACTGTCGCAGTAGAATTTTTTCTTTAGAAGAAAAACAGGCCGGGCGCCGATCAGTAGAGTTGCTCTTAGCGTACGCCTTGACATGACGCGACGTACCTTGTTTGAGCGCACAGACGAGATCTAACGATAGCATTTCGAAGCGCAAGTCTTTTTATTACACGGCAGAAAAGACAGCGCAAAATCCTTTACGAAAGATGGCTGCCAAAACAGCGCAAAATTCTTTGCGAAAAACGGCAGCCAAGACAGCGCAAAATCCTTTTGGAACACGGCAGCCAAGACAGAGCAAATTCTTTGTGAAACTCGGCAGGGAAAAGTCCTTATGAAATACACAACTGCTTATATACTGCTAGCAATGACATATTTCCTCACATAAATAAACAGACACGAATTTACATTTTCTTGGTTCTTATAAACAAAGCAATATATTTCTAATTAAATTAGACACCATAAAATTACAAAACCTGTGACCTAATGCAAAAAATCGTATATCTTCAAGTCAATTAGATGGCATAAAATTAGACATAAAGTTACAGCACCTAAAATCTAATACACAAAATCATATATCTTCAACTTAATTAGACAGCATAAAATTAGAACTTCCTGCATCTTACAAACAAGATAATACATCTTCAGACAATTTTACATTAAAATTTTCGGGCTTTCCCGACAGATACGCAGCGCTTAGCTATTCAAGGCCAGCAACATTACTGTTCATCAAATTTTACTTTGTTTTGTAGTCGCAACGATATCCCTCTTGTCGCTCAGCGAGCACAGAATTTGATTACTTATTTGTTCATGAAGAGACATACTAAGCATGCTTAATTCCAATACTTTCTTTGTCACAGCACGCGTTAACTATTATCCGCAATTACAAAAACTCGTCCGTCACATGCGATCGCTGAAAAATTTTTACCGACGATGGCAGGTGAAAATGCCTCCCTGTCAGTTGGCTAACTCACGTACATTTGGGAGGTGGGAGTAGATGAGGGAATGGGGTGGTGGGTGCGAATGAGGAGCAACAGCGCTCTTGATTTTTGCGACGGATACCCGGGTTTGGGAAAGAGCTGAAATACAGCTTGCCCTTAGAGTACCCCCATAGTGGGGATGGAGGGGAGCTCAAATGTTGCTTTGCAGACAGGATTTGTAGACAGGGTAGGGAAGGGGAGCGAGGTGCAAGTTAGGAGCTCGAAGCAAGAACTAGAGGCAGCAGTAGACAGAAAAAGACAGCACGCCACTACAAAAGGCAAACCCGAGCCTATAAATAAAGGCAAAAGCAACGTCAAAAAAATATGAAGCTATAAACAAAAGCTAAGAAACTGAGCCTGTGCACCTCAAATGGGGGACTTCCCTATTTATGAAGCAAACGCTTAGGTAAAGCTCAGAGCGAAAAAATTCCATTCTAGGATATGAAATGAGCAAAAAGAGAAGTCACACTTTGCTTCTGTGAGATCTTAGAAGCAAAAAAACAGAAATGCAGGTGTTGTGCACGGTCGCAGACTGCCGAAGGTAACATGTTGGAAATATATTGAATTTTTGTGTAAACCCAGTCGGACATATTCGCCCTCAGCTTCAACTAAGCATCAGATTTATAAACAGGAGAAACCTTTTACCGAAGACAGGTTTTTGTAAGACAATTTCTTCTCGCAAGAACTCAGATTTTGTTTGCTTTTATTCATACGTTTCGACTCCTTATTTTTGCTTTTCTTTCACTTTTATTCATAAAATCAGGACTCGTTTAATTTACTTTTCTCGGAAATGAGCATGATAGAGGGAGCAAGAAGTGAATAAATCGCTTTTACTGGATTGCCTTTGAAAGGTTGTAATTGTTTTAACTGTTTCAGCGATACGTTAACAAATAGTTCAGGTTCACGACTTCGATTTAACACTGTTCGATTCGGAAGAGGACATGAACACAAAAGTGATTCGTGCGGCATGCTTCCAAGCAAGTCCTGATGGGCGAACAATTATAAAAATGATGGGTAAAAACATGAAGGTACATTTTAAAATTTGATTCGTAAGCACTGCAAGACGCAAGACTGTGAGTGAAAAAACATAGAGTATTAGTTCCGCAGAGTGAAATTTGGAGTGTAAACCTTAGGCATGAAAACAAAAATCTAAAATCAACTAGCCCTTCTTCCGGAACAGCGGCCTCAGATCCAAATCTAAGCTGATTTTTAGAATCAGGCAATCTCCAAATTCAAAATACTGAGAAATTAATTCGCTCAAAATTCACGAAGAAAATGATTTAAGGTATGTTGATTTACGAGTATATGCTGAATCAAGCATGCCGACTAGTACGACTTATCAGTGAATTTTTGCAGAACGCAACTGGGGGTGCGGTGGGAAATATAGCACGCCGTGATATAGCACCAAATTGGCGAACACGTTTTGCACTGGCTACCGCATTCGATTCAACGTTTTATTGGAAACCACCATCAAGTGTCGGAGAAACTGAGGCATATTTCTATGAGACGAATATTAAAGACCAGGCTACACGCAGCGTGGTAAATCTGCTTCATAAAATAACACCTTTGTTAGCGTATTTAAACACTCTCTAAAACACTCTTTTCCTAAGAACTGATACTTGAGCTAAGATATCAGTCACATTTAGTTTCTCGTTTCTCCGAACTAATCGAAAATTTTTAAGCGTTTTTTGCATCTTTACAGTGCAAAAATACACTACCGAGACGCTGTCTGTGTGTTCGTCCGTACCGATTTTTCATCTCGAGACCTAGAAAAGCTACAAGGCTGAAACTTTGGCAATTTAATTTACACCTGTGTACGGCCCTTAGTGCCGAAAACGACCTCTCACGTTCACTTGGTCCTCACGTACGGACAAGTGAAAGTTTCTTAGCGGAAAGGCGATTTCGGAAACGGTGCAAAACAGAAGGCTGAAACTTCACAGAGATGTTCTTTAGCCACGTCTAATCCAATGATTTTAAAATCAGTCTTTGCACGCTTCTAGTTGTCATTTACATACCTATCAAATTTTAAATTGGCAGAGTGCCAATTCGCAATTAAGCTGACAAAAAATTTGTAGAAAGCTGTAATTTTGCATTATTGCCTGTCTCACACTGGTATTCCTCTGAAAGTAAATTGGGATATCCAGCCCATCTGTGTCTCAAGTACGGACACGCGAAATTTGGCATAGACAGTTTTGTAACTTCGCAACTGAAGCAGCTACAGGGCTGAAACTTCTTGACCGTGGCCGACGGCGACGTTTGGCCTGGTAGACATAAAAACAATTACGTCCCCTCCACGTTTCACGCACGTATCACATGCCAACAAGTGAAAAAATCTGACGTAACTCTGCAATCAAAGTAAGTAATCGCTCAAATTTTTTGAGTATGGCCAAAGACTGTGTTTAGACGGTCGCGTATGAAAAGAACCTTTACGTTTCCTTTCCATGTGCGAACATGTGAAATTTACGCAGGTCTGCAACCAGAGCAGCTTGAATGCTGAAATTTTCTGGGCGCGGTTAAGGGCCGTGCTTGAGCAAGCGCATGCGAAAACAGCATCTGTATTTCCCAAACGTAAGAACAACGAAATATGACACAAGTCCGTAACCGAAGCGACTAAAAGTGCTGAATTTTTTTGAGCACGATTTGGGAGTCATTGTAATAATTTCTGACAGTCGTGTTGGCCAATCGCAATTCTATTCTCGCCTTGCCTCCCTACCCCAACCAAAACGAAAAAAACACAAAAATAAAACAAAAACTTGAATCATCTTTCGGTGAAATTCCAAATGAACGTCGGGAAGCGACCTTCCCACCGGAGATCCGATCCCCGACAGGAATCCGATTGTCCTTTCCCAAACCACTTTTTCCCCGTCGACTCTCCTATCGTAGATTGAATCTACGACGGCTCTAAACTATCCCTGGTTCTCATGGCATCAACTTTGGAATCCTGGATTGGGAGACTGTAATGCGTGATATCTGTTACATGACTAGCAATATATAAGACGTACGATCCGTTGGTTCGGGATCCGCGTTTATCATTCCTACGTTCATTGACTCAGTGCCTTGTGCCAGCTTATTCGACGCCGTTCACTGACTGAGTGCCCTACATCAGTTAATCCTGTAAAGCTATCATCGGTGATACATCAGTCGTCCCTCTTGTTTCGTGCCTTTACCTCATATCATCTCTTTCGCTGATTTAACCCAGTACCTCAGTTAGTTCCTTCGGTCCATCGACACACACACATTTACACGCGGTGCCAATTTAATACCCTCCTTTAACCGGTAGCAGCGAGTTGGAAACCCCCAGCTCAGCGTCACTGCGGTTGATCGTACCCCGCGTCATCAATCGTGAGTTTTCATAGTACCCAGTATCACTTATTGCGGGTGCTTCTACCTACCCAGCGTCATTAATTGCGGATGTCTTAGTATTCAGCGTCATCAATTTGCAGATTTTCTTAGTAACCCATCTATTTGCGGGCATTCGTAGTAACTTGGTATCTCAGTGTCGTTCATTCTTTGCGGGGTACTACATATCTCCTGCGTCATCATATTCTGCGAGTTGAATCAACAACTCAGCGTCCAATAAGTCGTTTTACAGTAACTTAGTTAGTATTCGTTGCAAACTCTGTTGGAAACTTAGTAGAAAACGAAAAACCATTGATTACCTTCTCAACACAGGCACTCTGAAATCATCAGATTTTTCAGTACTGCGGGTTAAGTTATTATAGCGCCCAGCGTCATCGGACACAAAAGACCAGATGTATATATTTCAGAAAATAACAATACTTACATCAAGTTCGCCCGTTCTGAGCGAATTAATTTGAATCTCTCCAACTGCCTCACTCAGCTCATCATGAGTAATTTATATAGTATGTAAACTTTTCATTTCTTAACTAAATCTCTCATCTTTCTACCGTTTTCTCCAATGTCGGCCTCTGCATTAGATTTAAAGTATACGGAATCAACATGACCCAAACAAGAGGTCAACATCGGTCACTTAAAAACAATGACCGCCCAAATCAAACTATTATACTTGAGGCAAATACCCTACGTGACTTTCAAGCAATCAATCGAGAAAACACCAAATTATCAAATTCTTATGTTTGTCTATATAAGGAAACAGAACATGGTTTTGCAGTGATAGCCAAACTAATTGATGATATTCAGTAAACGTCACTGGCAACGCGCACCGGGCATTTTTGCAGTGTTTAATATCACACATTTCTAGCTAATCCGAAACTCAGTAGCTAGAAAAGTGTGACATACTGGTCTTTGAATTTCCGGAACTTAGTTGTCTACGCTTTACTTGAACAGAAAACATTTCCTGAAAATCTCAGCTTCTCAGCTTTCTCGTTTCCCGAATTAGCCATTTTCCCGCCAAAAATTTCCACGGGGCCGTACGTGAAACCACGCGTGCCTGAAGGCTACATTTGATAAATTTTGGTTGTATATGAGCTAGAAACATTCCCTTAAAATTCCAGTTTTCCAGTTTTTCAGGATCCCAAGTTAGCGATTTTCCCGCCAGGAATCTTCACGAGGCCGTACGTGAGAACGACGCATGTTTGGAGGCCGAATTTGAAATTTTTGTGTTCTATGCGGACATAAGTGCAAAGTTTCAGCTTTTAGCTTTTCTGGCTCCTGGGTTTGCGATTTCTCCGCTGAAAAGTTGAGGGGCTCGTGCGCGGGACCTGGACGTGCATGAGAGATGGAACGCTTAGCCCGGCGCTAGGTTTGAGCTCGTTAATACCTACTTGGACGGGGAACATTCTCTTAAAATTTCAGCTTTCTAGCGTCTCAGATTCCCGAGTTATGAGCTTACCCGGGATTGGCAGGCTCGTACGCTTGTATCACGTTTACCCGGGAATTGGGTTTGAGCTCACTAGTGCTTACTTGGACGGGGAGCATTTCCGTAAAATTTCAGCTCTCTAGCTTTCCTGGTTCGCGAGTTAGCAGCTTACCCGTAAAAAACTTTAGTAGGCTCTAAAGTGGGTACCGCGCGGGAAAGACCGTCCACTTTGGGAATGGGGCCCCGTACGTGCATGTAAATTAAGTCCCCAAAGTTTCAACCCTGTAGCTTTTGCAGGTCCCGAGATGAAAAATCGGTACAGAGACCCTGCGCACACATAGACTCACACACACAAACACACACACATGCACACAGACAACCTCCCGTCAATATGCGTTTTCTGCACTGCATTGCCTCAAAAAGCGCATAAAAACAATACATCCCTGCCCAGGGAAGGGAAAAGAAAGGTGATGCAAGCAACGCGGCGCGGGCATTTGCATCACACTACACGATCACACTCCCCCGCCCTCCCCTCCCCCCCTCCCCCTCCCTCCCCCCAAGCAGCTGTGTAACGTTCAGGCGGAGGAGGAGCTGGAGCTGGGGTACCTGCCCATCTGCGAGGAAGCGCTCCGGCAGTTGAGCAACACCAAGTAACACTTCTTTATTAGTGCAATATTAAAAAAATCAAAAAGAGTAAACGAACCCCAGAAATCGCCCGGCAGCAGCTCCAAGCTGCCGCCGGCCATACGCGATATTTCAAGCGGCAGCAGCTCCAAGAAGTCGCCGCGCACTTCCAAGTTTCGGCGAAACAAACAATTACAACAATTTCATTTTCACTCATCACATTAAATACCACGGAGTGGGGAGACTCGAGCCAGGAGACGGAACATTTGCATGTTACAGGAAACCGAAGGGCAACTGGCCAAGGCGAAGAGGGTTGAGCCTCCAATTTCTCTTCTTTGTCACTCGCTCCTTCCTTTTCCAACGTGCCGCCGCTCGCTTGAGCTCGGTCTCCAAGCTCCCAATCATCCTCTTTCTTCCTTTTTCCTCCTTTTTATGCGTTTTTTGCAGCAGTGCAATGCGAAAAACGCATACTGACGAGAAGTTGTCTCTGTATCCGTGTGTCTGTGTGGCTGTGTATGCGCCTGTCACGCACTCTTATCTCAGGACCTATAAAAGTTGCGGGGCTGAAATTTCGGGAACTTAATCTGCATGCACATGCCGCCCCCAATCTCCAAAATGGGCGCCAAAACCCGCGTGGAACTTGTGTATGGGCCCGCCAAAGTTTTTTTTGGCGTCAGTTCATAACTCGAGGATCTGAGAAGCTAGAACGCTGAAATCTTGCGATAATGTTCCCGCCCAACCGGGTATTAGTGGGCTCAAACCCAGCCTGCGGGTTAGCGTGGTACCCGCGTACGAGCCCACCGAAATTTTTTTCGGGTAAGTTCATAACTCGGGAATCTGAGAAGCTATAAGGCTGAAATCTTGGGGTAGTGTTCCCCGCCCAAGCGGGTGTTAGTGGGCTCAAACCCAGCCCCCGGGTAAGCGTGGTACCCGCGTACGAGCCTGCCAAAATTTTTTTCGGATAACTCAAGGATTTAAGAAGCAGGAAGGCTGAAATCATGGGGTAATATTCCCCGCTCAACCCGGTATTAGTGGGCACAAACTCAGCCCCCGGGTAAGCGTGGTACCCACGTACGAGCCCGCCAAAGTTTTTTTGAGTAAGTTCATAACTCGGGAATCTGATAAGCTAGAAGGCTGAAATCTTGGGGTAGTGTTCCCCGCCCAAGCAGGTATTAGTGAGCTCAAAGCC